TTATATTTATTTTGATTTTTGAAAGGCAGAGTTAGAGAAACAAAGAAGAAAGACAAATAAAAGAGCTCTTCCATCAGCAGATTCACTCCACAACTGCCCACAGAGTCTGGGGCTGGCTCAGGCAAAAACCAGGAGCCTGAAGCTCCAGCTGGGTCTCCCATGTGGGTGGCAGGGACTCATGGCCACCATCCACTGCCTTCCCGGGTGTGTTAACAGTAACCTGGGTCAGACGTGGAGTGCCTGCAACTTCAACTGTTGCACTGATAAGGGATGTGGGCTTCCCAAGCCATGGCTTAACCCACCGCACCACAACACCCAATCCTGAAACCATTATTTCATCTGACAGACACAGAAACATAGAAGGTGTTTAGGTTATAAAACACCATTAAAATCAAACACATCAAATTAGAGAAAAGCCTATAGACTGCAATTTTCCTGAACATGAGGTTATTCTTGTAAAATGATACACAAGCTATGAGGAGGCCCGGAGGCCCTCTGTTCGGCAGCTGCTGCCTCCAGTGGAAGCCCTGCTGCCCAGTGCAGGCAGCATCCACAGCTCATCAGTGAGAGGAAGTCAGCTCAAATGAAAATTAGTAAAATAAAATATAACATCAAAATTCTTTTTCTTTTTTAACATTTAGTTATTTAGGGCCCAGCGGTGTGGCCTAGCGGCTAAAGTCCTTGCATTGAACATGCCGGAGTCCCATATGGGCGCCGGTTCTAATTCTGGCAGCTCCACTTCCCATCCAGCTCCCTGCTTGTGGCCCGGGAAAGCAGTTGAGGACGGCCCAAAGCCTTGGGACCCTGCACCCGTGTGGGAGACCCGGAAGAAGTTCCTGGATCCTGGCTTCAGATTGGCATAGCATCAGCCGTTGCGCTCACTTGGGGAGTGAATCATCGGATGGAAGATCTTCCTCTCTGTCTCTCCTCCTCTCTGTATATCTGACTTTCCAATAAATAAATAAATCTTAAAAAAAATTTAGTTATTTATTGTTTGAAAGGCATATTTATAATTAGAGAAGGAGAGAGAAAGAGAAAGAGAGAGATCTTCCATATGCTCTGCTAGTTCACTCTCCAAATGGCTGAGGGCAGGAGCCAGGAGCTTCTTCTGGGTCTCCCACATGGATACAGAGGTCCAAGGACTTGGGCCATCCTCTGCTGCCCTCCTGGGCACATTAGCAGGGAGCTGGATCAAGTGGAGCAGCCAGGATTGAACCGGTGTGCAATATGGGATGCTGGCACTACAGAGACTTAGCATGCTATGCCACAGCACCGTTTCCTCAAAATCCTACTTTTAAAAAATGTCTTATTTATCTATTTTTATTGCAAAGTCAGATATAGAGAGGAGGAGACAGGAAGATTTTCCATCTAATAAGACATTTATGAGTACCATTAACTGTTTGCCTCAGAGGAGTAAGGCTTCAAGGCACGTGTGAAGCAAAACAAGGGAAAATTCTTCATATTTTGACAGTCTCCTTCCCCACCAAAACTCTCAGTTCTTTTGCCAACACCAAATTCCAGAGCATTTTTCCCCTTTAGTAACATATCTTTATCAAGTCTTTCCCAACCACTCAACCCATTTTTGTAGAGATTACAACTCTATTCACACTGGCAATGTTTGATTTTTAAAACTATCAAGTTAGGTTATGAATTACTAAATACAGCTGACATAAACAAAGATGATTGACTTTTGGAAAGCCAGTAACTCAGTCCCGGAGAGAAGGGACGAGCCCAGCAGGAGCAGGTGACTTGGCACTGTGGAAACAAGGTGGGCTCTGAGCCTCAGCGGTTCCTTTCCACAGAGGGCAGAGATGGGGTCAGAGGTTTGCGCCACACAGGTGGCGAAGGCAACCAAGGTGGTCAGGCACGGGCAATCCAAACACAGGGGCCTTTGCCCTGACTCCCACTCACAGGAAGCCAAGGGGCACTGAACGCCTTGGAGGGCGTGATGACAATGCTGGTTTGATCGCACCACTCCTCGCTCTGTCTCTAGCGGCACTAACCTGAATCTTCACAGAAGACCAAGAACCCAAGCTTCCCTGTGTTTAGTATTATGAACCTCAGCGCAGCTCATGTTCTAAAATATTAATGCATCTCCATGGAGGAGCAAAGAAAACCCTGTTTGAGAGGCACACGAAAAGAGCTTTTCCTAACACTCACTTACTCAAATAGGTCACCGGTGCTACGCAGGGAAAGCAATGCTGTGTGCTGCTGCCCTCTTGTGGCAAAACAGCAGAGTGGGGCTGTAAGACAAGAAGATGGAAGTATCTGGTAGAGCTCTTCATCTGCCCATAACAGCGGGTGGTTTGCACACTAAGAATTCACCATCACGGAACCGGCAGGGGGAATATAAGGGGGTTCCCTTGCTGGACAGCTACTCGCACTAGAGATCCTGAGCTGGGATGGGGGCAAACCAGACTAAGCAGGGCTACAACACCTGTGCGCCTCATGTGGACTAGATCAGGGAAAAGCCAGGCTGAGCTGACTATTCCTATTGGTGCAAACAAAATTAGAGTGGGCGAGGGTTGTTTGGGCTTAGCCACAGCAACAGCTGGCAGAAGCTGGCACTGGGGGCTAGTTCTGTCAAGTTAAACCACAGAACCACCTGGAGAGTGCATATCCAGGAGTGAGAGGCCTGGGAGGGCAATAGTGGCCTCCTCCCTCTTGGGTTACCACTTCTACAGGAGGGCATGAAGACTAGGACAGGGGCTGGGGTGGCTAGACAGACACCCAACAGCATCCGTGAGGGCTAGATAGTTGAGCTGGTTAGATGGAACTAAGCTTCAATACCCACTGACATGTATGAGAGCCAAATGGGATTTGGGACAGACTGGACTAGTCTGCTACACATACTGGCAAACCAGGGTAGGCGGAGGGTTTGGAGGGGGTTATTGTGGGTCGCTCTGACTAGGCTGCAGCTCCCACTGGTTTATGCGAGGGCCGAGTATGTGCTGGGCAAATCCAGGCTGGACTGTTACACCCATTGGTTCCAGTGGAAGACAGGGCTGAAAACAGAACCAACCCAGCGATTGCAACCCAGCTGATCGGGACAATGGACAGTGCAGGGGCCTGTACTTGCTAGCACATACAAGAATCTGGGAACACCTCAGACAAAGTTGCTTTGGGGGGTCTCTCCAATCGAAATGCTGGACTCAGAACCCTAACCAAGGAAAGAGAGAAGACAGAACAGGTCAATCAACCACCTCAGCTACACGTTGGCAGCGAAATACAGGGCAAACGGAGACTATGATGGACTATGTCAATCAGTGGATTCTTCAAAGACCTCATGGTGCTTGGAGTGGCAAGATTGGCAGCGATTCATAACTGGTGAACTATCAAAACCACCTGAGCAAAAATCTCAGAGCATGCACACATCTGGGATTTGGGGTGGGTGGGAAACTGGGCGGGGCTTCTCCCTTAAAAATCCCCCTTTACCTCAGATACATGAAGGAACTATATGGATGCCTGCATCCCAGATGCCAGCCACCACATGCACATGGTGAGCTGTCCCCCGGCCTGCCTGGGCTCGCGGCTGCTCCCTTCAGGGTGAGTACACGGGGGGGGGGGGGGGTCGAGTCTCCGTGACTGGGACGGTCCGGGGCCCACCCACGGCCCTCACTGGGCGGTGAATGGGATTTAGAGAGTGAAGGAGACAGAAAGATCTTCTGTCCATTACTTCACTCCCCAAGTGCATGCAACGACTGAGCTGAGCCGATCCGAAGCCAGGAGCCAGGAGCTTCTTCCGGGTCTCCCACATGGGTGCAGGGTTCCAATGCCTTGGGCCGTCCTCGACTGCTTTCCCAGGCACAGGCAGGGAGCTGGATGGGAAGCGGGGCTGCCTTGAGTTTCTTATCAAGTCCTCAGACAGTATCTCACTGCTGCCTCTAGATACTACCTAGATGCTATCCCAACAGTCTGGAGATGCCACTTCCTGAGTGTATCAGAGCTCGTGCAGAAATGTTCTAGAGCCTGTATTGAACGTTGCAGGTGGTTTGAGAATTTCTTTCATTCAGGAAAATGTTCATGATGAACAGAATTGTGGATAGACAATCGGGGCTTGAAAAATAGACAAAGAGCAAAGGGAGGGAATTTCTGTGACATTCTCCCTTCCAAAAGCTCTGCTTAGTCCATGACTGCAGCTTTCTAACCTGAGTCATAGGAGGGTTCTGACCAAAATAATTAGGCTAAGCTGAACTGTTAGTTCCATACCTAAAATTAAACTTTTGAGAAAACACCTTTATTTATTTATTTATTTAGTAAAGATTTATTTTATTTTTTATTGGAAAGGCGGAAAAAAAGAGAGGAGAGACAGAGAGGAAGATCTTCCATCCGATGATTCACTCCCCAAGTGAGCGCAATGGGCCGATGCTATGCCGATCCGAAGCCAGGAGCCTCCTCTAGGTCTCCCACGCGGGTGCAGGGTCCCAAAGCCTTGGGCCGTCCTCGACTGCTTTCCCAGGCCACAGGCAGGGAGCTGGATGGGAAGCGGGGCTGCCGGGATAGAACCGGCGCCCATATGGGATCCCGGGCGTGCAAGGCGAGGACCTTAACCACTGCGCCACTGCACCGGGCCCACACCTTTATATTTTACATCTTACATACACTCTGTTACCTAGTATCTTCTGATTCAAAAGTTGTGCAAATTTGTCAAATATTTTAATCACAATAAAACCAGCAACATTTTGCCTCTCTAATCATATTTATTCTGTGTAATTAAGTATATGGAATTATAGTAAGTTCAATATCAGGAATCAGGAATATGCCAAATAATTTCATAAACTGACATTTCAGTTTCATTGTCAGAAACCTCAGAAAATCACTCACTTACTTGTCCTTTTGGTCAGAAGTCATTCTTTTTGAATTTTTATCTTAGTGAAGGTGGCTTTCCTTGATTACTTTCATTTTACTAAGAAGAAAAAAAAATTGTTTTAAAACAAAGTCTAAATTAACAGCTGATGAACCTTCCCATTAAACAGTTACACATCCACAAGAGAAAAAGGTAAACACGGTGGTTTTAATAGTCAGTACACATTGCAAATGAAGACAGCAATTTTTGGTTATAGTAATGAGTAGCAAAACTATTCTCCCACAAGTCTTGTCCTCAGCATGTTTGATTCAGTTTAGTGTAAGCTAGGCTAGAGCTAAATACCCTCTACCCCCTCCCCTCCTTTTTTTTTTTTTATACCATGGTGTAGTCTTTCACATAACCAAAATTTGTGGTCAACATTTTATATAGCGAAGAGATAACTAAATATGTAAATTATATGAAAAGCAGCAAAGATATAGGAAAATAAAACACTTCATATAAATTATAGACAACAGTTAAAACAAAAATTCACTCGTTTCTTTTCTGACTCGATTCTACCAAATGAAGTCAACAGGTATTATTCTGTGAGCCATTAAGAGTGTCTAGAGACTGTGGTTCCTTCTAGACGCAGCTGTCCAAGACGGACACATGGATGACGCACACTGTCTCAGTTCTTGACTGGAGTTGAGCTTCCTTTCATAGTCTTCTTTAGGTGGTGGTAATTTGGCAAGATTTTCATCAAGAAATCCAGCTGCAGTGTCTGGGGCTAGAAAGATTAGATCCTTAGTGGCTAGCACTGTGGTAGAGCCGTTAAAGCTACTGCCTGTAGCACCCATATCCCACATGGACACTGGCTGGAGATGGAAGCCAGCACCCCACACCTGTGCCGCAGGAAAGCGTGGCAGGTGGCCCAAACCCATGAGCTCCTGCACCCAACTGGGAGACCTGCATGAGCTCCTGGCTTCCTCCTGGGCTAGTCCTGGGTGTTTCAGCCATCTGGGGAGTGAACCAGAGGACAGGAGATCTTTCTTTCCCTTTCTGTCTCCCTCGCTCAGTTTGTAACTCAAAATAAGTAAATAAATATTTTTTGTTAAAAACAAAAACAAAAAACGTAATTCAGATTGACTAGCATAAAGCAAAAAACAACAAACAAATAAAAAACAAAGGTGTCAGGAAGAAATTGGACTTTTTTTGCCTTCCTGGGTTTCTTTTTAAACTCTGATAAAAAGACAAAGCAAAATATGTTGTTTTGTTTTTTCTTTTACATAAAATCTACAGAGAAATCAGTTTTCATATTTGCTTTTGCAGATTTCACCTTGGCTTCCAAAATGTTAAAAACTTCCAATTCCAGAAGGCCACACAGGTTAAACACTAGAGTTGATGACTTCCTGCAAGACCTTGAGAGGCACTTGGCTGAGACGCACTCGTATGGTCTTCCCTCTGCACATACCAGCTTTACTCTTCTCTCCTTCTTGTAAAGCTCAGAGAATTTGGGAAAATATGATTTAAGAGTCTGCCCTAGCCACTGTGACTCCATAAGCCTGGACACTCCCTACTTTTAATAAAGACTTCTATGTAAGCCTTGTGATCAGTACAATTTGGAGAATAGCACTGCCCACCAGTAAAAGATAAACTTCAGATGTCCTCACTCACCTGATGCTAACCTTCTTTCCCTAACCCCAGCTTCCTTTTCCCCCTGTCCAAACGTGTTTGCTGTGAGGTAGAAAGCAAAAGAAAATCACTGAATTTGTCCTTAATTTTTTTAGTCTAGATAACTAATGCTTGTTAATAATAATAATAATAATAAGCCAAACATTATAGAAATAGAGTAACCCAGACAGAACTGGAGTTTTAACATCTCAGAAACTATGCCTCAGAACCAGAGTCAAGCATAAGTATCTTGAAAATATTTTCTTTTGCAGGACGGAAAGGCAGCTGAAAGGCTAAAGGAATCCAGATGGGTACTTCAAAAAGTTTTAGACAAATGCACTGAAGAGGCGGGTTCACTACCGCACAAAGACCTTGACGTCCACGCAGTTTTCCCTGGAGCTTTGTGGGTAGCCCTTGCAGGCACTGCTTTCCACTTTCTGTATCAAAGTAAACGTGTCTTCCAGTTCCACTGCTGCATCACTTTCAGGAAGCCCCTCACACAGCGCCAACCAAAGGAAAGGCCCAGCATGCTACCTTTTTCATCACCTACTCCAACATGAAACTTCATTTATTTACTCTTCATTGTTCTTGGCCATATTAGGAGAGGATCATTTCTAATAGCCCAGGAAAATATCCACACAGTTGTGCAATTTATAAGCTGGAATTTACTGTCAAGTTGTAATATTAATAAACTAATAGACCCAAGGTCATTTGTCACCTTTGAAGAAGGGAACCTAGCATGGAGTGTGATGCGGTGTGGGGACGCATCTTCTGTGAACATGCATGAGAGCTCCCTCTGCCGCTCTCCTCAAGACCACCTTGCCATCATCAGCCATATTTATATCTCTGATATTAACCCAATGACGGAAGAATTAAAATCCTGCTCTTAGGAATATCTGCTTTTTAAATAAAGAACTTGTTCCTCTTTAAGATTATTATGTGTAGAGCCTGAGCTGGCCAGGCAAGAGGGACAGAACAAGAAATAAACTCTTGAGGCATCCCCCAAACAAAGACTATTATGTGGTTATGTGGAAAAATTAGCAGGAAAAAAAAAAAAAGAACTACTTTTATTTGAGAGGTAGAAAGGAGGGAGAGAGGGAAAAAGGAAGAAAGAGACAGAAATGCAAACACAAAGTTCAGTATGCTGGTTTACTCCCCAGATGCCTGTAATGGCCAGGGTCAGGAAACCAGCCTGGATCTCGTACAGGGCTGGCTGGGACCCCACTCCCTGACATCACCTGCCAGCTCCCAATGCATACATTAGCAGGCAGCCAGAAGCAGGACGTGAATCCAAGCACTCTGACATTGGTGGCTGACCTGCTAGGCCAAGCTGCTGCCCCAGAACCCCTTGGACTGGAGGTTCTAGTTACCTGTGGTCGCTCGGTCTGCACCCGACGGAGGCAGTCGGCACCGTAGATCACCGTGTTCTCCGGGATGACTTCAAAAGTGTTTAGGTTGCAACAGGCCCCGATGATACAACCACTTGTCAGTATGACATTTCTACCTACATAGGCTACAGGAAAACACGGATTTGCAATTGAAGACATCAAATACTTTTCTAAGATGACTTATGATTAAAACTGCAGACTTGCCTTACAGAAAAAATTAAGGCAAACACTTCAGCTCTGAATGTGTGTGGAGAAAAAAAGGAAGCACAGCCCATGGTCAGCTGGATTTACAGCAGGGTTCTGCTGCCAACTTCTGTGACCTCAGACAGGTGGCTGGAAGAGCTCTGAGCTCAAGCACACTGACAAAATGGAAACCAGGGCACTTCACATTTTACTTCAAAAAGTAAATGGGATAGTAAATGTGAAGTGCTGGACACAAGTTAGATTCATAGTAATCACCCAATGCATAGAAAATGTCAATGATGATGCCTGGGAGTCTGAGTTAAGTAAGATAAAAGCCATAAGTAGATTAACAAAATGTGTTTTTACTTCTTTCATGCCAACCAGGATCAAGAAAGCAAAAGCACCATTCTGTAAGAAGTGTCACCATTCAAGTTCTTTCTGGAGTTCACTACCACAAGCTCTTGGAGTTCATTTGCATTAGTGCTGGGGATGGGTCAGCGTGGTGGTTCCATAGGTTAATTCTCCACCTGCAAGCTCTAGCATGCCATACGGATACCGGTTTGTGTTCCTGCTGCTCAACTCCCCATCCAGCTCCCTGTTTACAGCCTGCGAAAGCAGTGGAAGATGGCTCAAAGCCCTGAGACCCTGTACCCATGTGTGAGACCCAGAAGCAGCTCTTTGGATTGGCTCAGCTCTAGCTGTTGTGGTCATTTGGGGAGTGAATCACATGAAAGATCTCTCTGTCTCTCCTCCTATAAATCTGTCTTTCCAATAAAAACAAATACATCTTAAAAAAAAAAAAAGGAGTTCTGGAGGCTTCAGAAGATCCTTGCCTGGCCCAATTGTGACACATGATACGCATTTCTCTATAAAATTTATTTACTTCCATTTTATTTGAAACACAGACAAAGCTAAGCAACAGAGATCTTCCATCTGCTGGTTCACTCCTCAAATGCCCCCAATAGCAGGACTGCCCCCAGCAAAGCCAGGAGCCTAGGATTCAGTCTAAGTCTGTCATGTGGTTGGCCAGGACCCGAGGGCTTGAGCAAGCAGCTGCTGCCTTCGAGGCTTGCACTAGCAGGAAGCTGATGTGATGTGGAGCTGGGACTACAAGCAGGCACCCTGATAAGGGATGCGGACCCAGTGCCACCTTAACTACCATGCTGAACACCTGCTCCTGTTACATTTGTTTCTCGTCAGCTAGGGTAAACTGGCCTTTAAAGAAAGCAAACTGCTAGAGAGACTGTGCTTTTTAAAATTTAATAATACTTACCAACCAAAACACCATGGAAACTAGGAATTGGTTTCAAATACTTTATTTGAACTTCACTATTTGATTCTGACTTAAATGTACACAGGTAACGTTTTGATTTTGTGTATTTAGTCACATGACCAGATTCCTTTCTTAGAGACAAAGAATTATGTGTGACATCTATGGTCACCGTGTCCAAGGCTGCCACCTTGCCAGAATATGCACTTGTGTTTTTTCCAGTTACCGCAAAGAGAAACGAGCTAATCACTTTGATAATACAGCTCTGACCACAGCTTACCTTTTGATTCAATGACATTATTGTCCCCCATCTTCATAGCTTGGGAATCTGTGAGCTGGAGTTAAGCAAATACTGAGAAGGTGTTCGCCTTCCTTCACTACTTACACACTGTGTCCCAGGGTAGCAAGGTATGCAAGGCCCCGGGTGCCCACCTGGTCAGAACTCTGTGTGTAGGGCAACTGGCAGTGAAGCTCTCTTTAAACACAAATGACTTGGCTTTTAAAAAAGAGATGGGTACCTTATAACGTGATTTTATGAGCAATGAATGTTTGCAATTTTTTTTAAAAAGTAAAGCTGTTCATTATCTAATCATTTAAATACTATTAATAGATTGATATATCTTTATGTACATATATATAATTCTGTTCAGAAAAAACAGAAATCAAATTGTATAAAATAAAACTGCATAAACTGCTTTAGTTTACTTGGCTGACTCAATTGGCAAGCATTAGTCCAAGTTATTAAAATCTTAAAGAAAATTAATTTGTATTGACTGCTTAAAGGTTGGTCCTGGTTATTTCCTGTAGGCTTATAGATTAGCTAATTAAAACACTTTGCTATTGTTGACATCTAGATGTTTTTCTTTTCTACAAACATTTCCTGTTACATGTCATAGTTCCACAAACACCACAAAAAGATTTTACTCTTTTCTTGGAGTAGAAAACCAAGCAGATGAAGTAGCGAACTCTCAGAGGGAACACCAGCACGCCACACAGGAAGCAGACGGACAAAAGTGTGGTTCTGAAACCAGGCTGGAAGCCAGGGTCACGGCTCCAAGTCTCCTGCTGCTGAGCCCTCACTGCCTGGCAGCACAAGGCGGCTCCAGCACAAGCAGCAAGGCCGTGCCCATGCTGAGCCTAAGGTGCATGTGCTGCTGGCCAACCGCATGCAGGGCTCACTCAGCTGAGTTTGCAGAGACTGATTACTGAAAGGGCTGGCTAGCCTAAGCTTTAGACTATAACTGTGGCATATATTAGAAATCTACTTGGTAGGTCAATTATGACCATTTCGAGGTGGGGAGCCCTGGATGTTTTATCCTAGATTATTGCGCAGGATACAACAGCCAACTTCAAACACGTTGTTGGTACCAATGACCATTGGCTTGGGATCTACATCTTCTGTATCTGGAGTTATGTTATCTGGGTACCTGTAAGAAAAAATACAAATCACCAAAATGTCAGTAGCATAACAACAAATTTTCCGTCCAGTTGAGAATTTGGTCATTCCTTCCATTTGATCTAGAACTCCTCTAAATGACTTCTTCTTTATCCAAGTGAGTCACGTACCGTCGGGGCTAGAGAAGGCTGCATTCTGCATTGAGAGCAGCTCGTGAAATGAGAGCAAGTCACAGGCCTGTAAGGACAGCCTACCTTCGCTGTCGACACGCCAAGGCCAGCAGACAACAGAATGGCTACACTTTTCACCTGATGAACTGGAATAAAAATCTCATCTAACTTTGAAACTTTCCAACATTTACAATCATTTGAGATTGTGAAATATAAGTAGATAAGCACATAAAACAATTATTTCATTAGGTAGTAGCTGAAATATGTGCAAGAGTAAATGTTCGTGCTAAATGTTCGTGCTAAATGTGCTAAAAGCTGGCAGCCATTCGAAACGGTGCTTTATCTGACAGCTGAGCTACTGCAGAGTAACCCCTGTTAATTGACTTACATCAAAAGCGCCAAGTGTTTTTAGAAAAGTAACTCCCAAAGCCTAGATAAGCATTAAAACAAGTCTGTCTTCTTATCACAGTTAAATATTTTCCCAAGATCTTAGAAATTCCATACACTGCTATTATAAATTAGATATAAGCCCAAATTGCCTGCCAAATTCTATCTAGAAAGACTCACACATGCTTGTAGAAATCGTATGACAGTCTCATTCCCTAAGGTCATGTATGTGTTCCAATATCTCACTAATTTTTGCCTCTACAGTTTAAAAATTGCTCATATGGTTTTTAAATCTCCAATTTTTCTGTGTGTTACCATGCAGAACATTTGGAAACATGTGTTCTGGTTAAGTTCACGTGTGTGGTTTCTGCCCAAATTGAGAGCCAACCAGGCACTCTCTTCTGCGTGGTTGGCATGGCACTGGAAGGATGCAGGGGTGGGGAGATGCAGGCTTTGGTAGGGCTGGAGAGGGAGAGGCAGCGAGGATGATCAGGCCACCCACGAGCTCCCTCACCTTGAGCCTTCCACTCCATCCGGTTTTAGGGTTGCCACATAACGTGCTGACAAAGATCCTAATGCCTCTCTAAAGCAGTGGGCCTTGCAGATGTGGCCTAGGAGCAGCTCGTTAACCAGCTGTGTGCAGGGGACCCTGGAGCCTGTGGCGGGGCAGCTGGGAGGCTCGTACTCACGCGTTTATGATGAGGGCCTGCTCTTCTATCAGGTTGCCTTCCCCAATCACTATGGGCCCGGCTTCAGCAATGATCCGCGCCTTGGGGTGGATCACCGTCCTGGGTCCTGTTAAAAACAGGGTTGGAGAAGATTCGTATGCTGGAGGGTGGGAGGGGCTGCGGGAGGAACATTTTCTAAGTGTGTGCCAGGCACCATGTTGGTTCTTTACAAACAGTATCTTCTTGGCTGTTATCAGCAATAGTTAGTGCCAAAGCTCCAGCGGGGCGAGGGAAACGACATAGGCACCAGGGGCTGACAGCTCTGGCTCTCTGCTCCAATGTGCCTGTGATCTCAGGTGAAGGGGGCAGGCCTGCAGGGGCGCACAGGAGAGGGTGCTGCCAGTGGAGGTGCGAAGGCTGAGTCTTCTGCCTTCTCTTCCCGAGAAGCTGGCAGGATCCCTGGAGTGGGGAGTCCTAGGGGATGCTGCAGGCTCCATCACATCCAAGGTGCCCAGGGCGGCCCTGGAATGCTCACACACTCCCTCCCCTCTGGCTGCTATCTGCCCACAGGCTTAGTGTTTTGGTGATAACCAAACCACCGGCGGGAAAAACATATCCTCCTTTTAGCCTCTCTCCAACACCCACCTCTCTCTCCCTTCAACACCAAGACTATTTTTATTAGTCTGCAAGTGAGCAAGAAATAACAGTCTGAAAGTAAGGGTGGACAGACAAGTATTGATGGAAGGTGGGGAGGAAGGTCAGGAAGGTGACACTCTCCATGAAAGCCAGTATTTCATTGTATACAGCAGTTACTCAATAATCATTACTTACTGTGACAGGTAACATGCAGAGCTATATGTTACGGGGAAAAGTAAAAAGAGTACAGGCTATTTTTGCACTTTTGATCTTATCTAGGAAACCAGGGTGTTGTACACCCAGTCACAAATGCATGAAAATTAACAAGGAGGTGTGCCTGGTGCCCAGAGCATCTGAAAGCATCCTCCATGCAGCTTATTCTTTTCCTGACAGTGAAAAGCAGAAGATTGATGAAGAGGGTGGGACCTAAAACAGGATGCACAGTCTGGGGAGAAATAACAAAAGCAGCTGTGGTATTTCTCAGTCACCTCTGGCTCCCCGAATCCTAGCTGTTAAAAGTCAAATCCCCCAGGCAAATTCTACTTGTAATACAAAAGCCTGGGAGGAAAGAGGTTAGCAGAGTTCCCTGGGAAGCTTCACACATTGGCCTTGTGGGTGAACATGCATACTTTTAGGAAACACACATATCCATGGATTCATGCACACATATGTAAGGGTAATTCAAACAGTCCATGGAAGGTGAACATCGTGATGGGGGTGGGGAGTTGTGTAGGAGGAGAGCTCTGGCGTAGCAAGCTAAGGCTTAACCGACAGCACCAGCAATGTCAGATGGATGCAGTTTTGAGTCCCCTGCTCCCCACTAACAGAAAACCACCAGAGGATGGCCCAAGAGCATGGGCCCCTGAATCCGTGTGGGAGACCTGGAAGAGGCTTCTGGCTTTGAATGGCCCTGCTCTGATCTTTATGGCCATTTGGGGAGTGAACCAGTGAGTGGAAGAGCTCTTTCTCTCCATAACTCTGCCTTTCAAATAAATAAATGTTTAAAAGGAAAAAGAAAAAACAGACCTACCACTTGGGACGTCCACAATACACATGGAAGTGGCAAGTCAAGTCTCAGATATGCCACTTCCATCCCAGGATGCATCCTGGGAAAGCAGATAATGGCTCCAGTACCTGGGTCCCTATTATAAAAATTTCCAAGAAAGTGAAAAGGGAAGAGCCCACTCCTGTTCCAGAGATAACACAATTGGAAGTCTGGGTTCCATATCACAGGTTTCCATACTGAGTACCACCCACCTACCTATGTCTCATCAAAAAGCTCAAAGATAAATACAACTGTGAAGTGAAAAACATGCATTCCAAGGGCATACTTTAAAACCAAGAAACAAGGCTTATTCTATAATTTGCAGTTTTCAGGATTTTTCCATGTGGACTTATTACACTGAAAAGCATCTCATAGCACACTAGTGTATCATCATTTGCTCAACCAATTGATCCCTTAGTGACGCGTATTTATATTGGAGAAGTGGCACACACTATTGAAAAGGACAGGGTACCTCTGAAATGTAAAAAACTACCTAAATCTTGCAGCTGCATGAATCCATTGAAATCTGTAGCTTAGAGTACAAGCCCAGCTTTACACTCCATGTTCAGCAAGTCCTGGGATCAAGCCACGTGATTGTCTGCTTCAGGCTCTTCATCCTGAGCCCTCGGCTGGCACACAGGCCTGGTGTGGAGAGGTCAGCCGCTGGGCTCTGTCACACAGAGACCTACGTCCTCACCTACACACACACACACACACACATGCACACACATGGAATCTGCACAACTCCCCTCACTGAGGTGAGATGTGCCAAGCCAGGCTCCAGGGGGGAGAGTCTGGGGCCAGCAGTATGCACTACCAAGACCTCACCAGTAGCTTTTGCAATATAAGACAATAATTCTACTTTAAAAAGCAGAAGAAAGGGACTATTTTCCTCCTCTGCTCAAAAACAGGGTCATCACTGTTTTTAACCAAAGGAACAAAGTATCACAGAACAATACCAGGATTGATAAACATGTTTTTCATAACTGGTTTTACAGTATCTTGGGCAGGAGGAAGTGTCCATCTCGGCCTTGGCAGCAAGCAGTTCCCGGACCGCTGCCTGGACAGCAGGCGGGGCTCAGGGTCCTCACACGGCTGCAGCCCACAACAAACAGAGCTTCCTAGAAGCTGCCGGAGGGCGGATTAGTCACACCAAGGGACCACTGGGACCCGTGCACTTCTTAACAGTTCCTCTAAAGCATACATTTTTTTTTTAAAAAGATTTATTCATTTTTATTACAAAGTCAGATATACAGAGAGGAGGAGAGACTGAGAGGAAGATCTTCCGTCTGACGACTCACTCCCCAAGTGAGCCGCAACGGCCGGTGCTGCGCCGATCCGAAGCCGGAAACCAGGAACCTCTTCTGGGTCTGCCACACGGGTACAGGGTCCCAAAGTAAAGCATACATTTGACAACAATTACTATGTCCCATTCTTCCTCTCACATATGACATAAGAAATCCATACTTATCACATAAAAATTCCAACATATGCATAATTTAAAAAAAAAATTAAATCGCCAGCCGCAGTGTTGTGGTATAGTAAGTTAATCTTTCACCTGCAATGCCAGCATTCCATATGGGTGCCGGTTCCTGTCTTGGCAGCTTCCTGCTTGTGGCCTGGGAAAGCAGCAGAAGATGGCCCAAAGCCTTAAGATCCTGCACCCACATGAGACCCAGAAGAAAAGTTCCCAACTCCCGGTTCTGGCCATTGTGGCCACTTGGGGAGTGAACAAGTGGATGGCAAACCTTTCTCTGCCTCCCTCTCCCTCATTCTCTCCACAATGCTTTCAAGTAAAAATAAAAAAAATTTTTAAACTGTCTCATAATATTCCATACAATATTGAAGAATAATTTCTTAGGTAGTTTATAGAGATGTATTATTGTTATTATTATAATAAATAATTACTTAATGTTATAATTTATAACATTATTTAATAAATAACTGGAAAACTGCTAATAATTATGGGCCTTCTACCAGGAGGCCAACCAGTAGTTTAGGTTAAAAGACCTGCGATTGGGCCTGGCACAATAGCGTAGTGGTTAAATCCTCGCCTTGCACGTGCCAGGATCCCATACGGGTGCCGGTTCTGATCCCGACGGCCCTGCTTCCCATCCAGCTCCCTGCTTGTGGCTTGGGAAAGCAGTTGAGGACAGCCCAAAGCCTTGGGACATGGCACCCAAATGGAAGACCCAGAAGAGCTCCTAGCTCCTGGCTTCAGATTGGCTCAGCTCCAGCCGTTGCGGTCAAGTGGTGGGAAGTGAACCATCAGACAGAAGGTCATCCTCTCTCTCTCCTCCTCTTTGTATATCTGCCTTTCGAATAAAAATAAATAAATCTTAAAAAAAAAAAAAAAAAAGACCTGCGATTTAGACACCAGCATCACCTGCTGGCAGCATCCTCAAACTACAGGTCCTGGTGTTTCCAGACCAAAATGCTCCAACTTTTTCATATATAAATCTGCTTTTTAAAAAAAAAGAGGGCCCGGTGCAGTGGCGCAAGTGGTTAAGTCCTCGCCTTGCATGCCTGGGATCCCATATGGGTGCCGGTTCTATCCTGCCAGCTCCGCTTCCCTTCCAGCTCCCTGCCTGTGGCCTGGGAAAGCAGTCGAGGACGGCCCAAAGCTTTGGGACCCTGCACCCGTGTGGGAGATCCGGAAGAGGCTCCTGGCTTCAGATCGGCATAGCATCGGCCGTTGCGCTCACTTGGGGAGTGAATCAGTGGCTGGAAGATCTTCCTCTCTGTCTCTCCTCTCTGTATATCCTCCTTTCCAATAAAAAAATAATAAAAATAAATCTTTAGAAAAAAAAAAAGATCTTCCTCTCTGTCTCTCCTCTCTGTATATCCGCCTTTCCAATAAAAATAATAAAATAAATCTTAAAAAAAAAAAGAAAAGAAAAGAAAAAGGGTGGGTTTCAGGACGGAGCGTCTCATGCCTGATTCCCAGACGACAGCCACCATGTGCACGTGGTGAGCTGTCCCTGGGCCTGGGTTTTGGTTCTTTGAGTCACTGTTTACGTAGCTCCAGGTTGAACCCACTGTGCTTCTAGGACGTGAAGCATTCGTAAAGATTCCCAATGACAGTAACTCTTCCCTTGTTAAATTTGTAATCACTGAACAATGCTGACCACCAAATACCAGTCCATGCAAAATCTATGGCTTGGGGCTTGTCCAGCAGAATCATGCCCTGTTACCTGACATGATGATGGATCAGGAGAAGGGTCACATTAAGCAGGCCATTACATTAACTAGCACTAGAACCATAACCAGGGGTAAATTCTGTGAGGGATGTGTGGGCCAAACCCTGTGGAAATTCTACCCCCACTGGTTATCTCAAGAGTTGGCGTGCTGATGGACTAAGCTGGGTGTGACCAAGGAGCCTGCCATCAATCACAGGTAAAGGAACCCCCAACAGTCTGGACTGGTCAGGGCAGCAGCACCCAAAC